TTCATTCCAGGACTTACACGCTCCGTTCTTGATTGCGCAGCCAAGTACAATGGTTGGCAGCCTGGGATCATGCGCCTCTGTGCCGAGTGCATGGGTATCATTGGGTGCCTTGACTCGAACCGCATGGAGAGCAATCGAGAACAGAAACGGTTTGTCGTCAGTCAAAATTTCATGGATTTCAGAGAAACAGCGGACTTCGTGTGTTTCATGTTGGAGAATGTCCTCGTCAAGGCTTTCCTTTCAACTACAGACACGAAGTTCCTGAGCTTCCTTTCGTATGCGATGCAAGAGCTCCTGGCCAAAACGGGCATCAAGCTCGCTTACCAAAGTCAGGGACAGGGCCAACATGAGACATTATACAAGAGATGGCGGAGCTTCAACGACATAACCAAAGAGATTTTAACGCCATTTTTGACATCCGAATTCATCGTTTCGTCTGGAATGATTGGGCTGGACACCAATTACCCTATTTTCCACCCCCAGAAATCATACGAGACTTGGCTGAAAACGTTTGTTCTCGATCTTCTTCGCAATCCACAGAACCCTAACAGCGCGATTCTCTTTCCACCTCTCTGTCGACTTATCAAGGTCCATGATCCTTGTGTGAGCGAGTTTCTGTTACCCTACGTGGTGCTACACGCCGTTATCGGGAGCGAGGGCCCCTCCCAGACACCAGATGAGAGCCAAATGCTCGTGGGGAAAGAGGGATCGACCAGGGCCGAGGCCCACGAAAAGAAGACAAACGGTTCGGAATGGAGGAAGAAGGTAATGTCTGAGCTTAAGACTATTTTGGAGTATCAACCGCCGGAAACCGCCACGCATTCCGAGAAAGAGGAAGTCAAGCTTTGCTACGAGGTATGTACATGTTCTCATGACTGTAATTTACTGTTACTGACTAAAGTAGGCCGTGTTCCGCATTCTTGACTACTTCAAAAACTGGCTACACATCAAAAAGTCCCAGTCAGCATCCAAAGAGAAAGATGCGAGGTGGTGTCCATTGGTTGAGGAGGTGCTTTCTTCCCTCGATCCTGAACTAGTTGCTCGACGAGCGATCGACTGTGGGCAATATGCTCGCGCTCTTTTGTTCCTAGAGCCTCACATTGAAAGTCGCAGAGACCAGGCTATAGGTGACGAAGCAACTCGTCTCATGCGATCCGTACATGATATATACACGCAGATCGACGATCCCGACGGGCTAGATGGCATATCCGCGTGCATGAAAGATCTCGGGTTTAAGGAGCAGGCTCTCAGTCATCGTAAAGCGGGCCGATGGACTGCTGCGCAGACCTGGTATGAGATACAGCTGGCTGAATCGCCGGACGATGTCAATCTTCAGCTCGACCTCTTGACCTGCCTCGAGGAATCAGGCCAGTACGGTGAGTGAAATTTGTTATCTTCAGGTTGATGGTACATACGGAGCTGACATTGCGTCCAGACAATCTTCTGAGTTTTGCTGAAGGAATTGACAAAACACCAAGCAGTCTGAGCAAAGTGATGCCTTTCGTTCTCGAAGCGTCGTGGGCAACGGGTAGGTGGCAAATAATGGAGAAGTATCTACGAGCGTACACCGAGGGCGACGTAACCGATATCTTCAACATCGGTATCGCTGATGCACTGCTCTGTCTCAAAGAAGGAGATGGAGAACGGTTTCAAGAACTTTTGCAGGCAATGCGGGACAAGGTGGCTAGCTCCATGACACTTTCAGCGACATCATCGTTCAGAACCTGTCATGACGTGATGCTGAAGTGTCACGTTCTGGAGGATCTTGAGATGATTGCCAATGCGGAGCCAGTCGAGGGTGAAGGCCATGCGCCTCTTGTGAAGGCTCTAGAACGTCGCCTGGAGGTACTCGGGGCATATGTCAGCGACAAGCAGTACGTGCTTGGAGTCAGGAGAGCAGCAATGGAACTGATGAGGTATGTATCTTGTTTGATCCCTGAACTCATTGAGCTCGTTTCTGATAATTCACTAGGACAAAATTCGGAGACGAAGAGATATCTTCATCATGGCTTGCCACCGCTCGCTTGGCCAGGAAATCTGGTTCGACTCATCAGTCCTTCAACGCAGTGCTACGTGCGCAGCAGCTTGGTGATAGTTCTGCAGTCATAGAATACGCAAAGTTGTTCTACAAGGACGGCCAGCATCGCAAGGCGATCCAGCTATTGCAACGCGCCATTGACGACGACCTTTTCAACGATGGTATGATGGCGATAGATACCCCAACATCTAGTAAGAGTCAGCAGTCTCATCGCAATCTACTGAAAGCCAGAGCCCACTTGCTTCTTGCTAAGTGGCTCGATTCAACCGGTCAAACCCACGCCGGTGCTTTACGCTCCAAGTTTCAGGAGGCGGCCAAAACCCACCCGCAATGGGAGAAGGGGCACTACTACCTTGGGCGTCACTACAAGAAGGTTTTGGAGTCCGAAAAGGCGCTCAGCCCAGATGATCAAAGTGACGCCTATTTGACCGGAGAGACGGCCAAGTTGGTTATAGAAAATTATCTGCGCTCACTCAACTTTGGGACGAAGTATGTTCACCAGACCTTGCCACGAATTCTCGACCTATGGCTCGAACTCGGGACTCAAGTCGACGCTCCGTCACTGGGCATGGTGACCTTGTCCGCAGAGCTACAATCACGTCGGAGGACCATTCTCCATGAGCTTTATAAGCATTTCAACAGGCATCTGCCCAAAATGCCAGCTTACATTTTTTACACGGCTTTGCCGCAAATTGTGGCTAGAATAGCTCATCCGAACCAAGATGTGTTCAGAGTCCTGGAGCAAATGATTATCAAGGTGGTGGAAGCACACCCCCGACAGGCTATCTGGAGTCTCTTCTCCTTCATGACCGGGCGTACGAACGGTGCTCGACGACACAGAGGGCAAAAGGTTTTGGACGACCTCCGAGCCATCGCGAAAAGAGTCGATGAGACAGGCTACGACCTGAAGCAGTTGCTCAAAATGGGCGAGAAGCTTGCCGAGCAGCTCCTTCTGGCATGCAACAAAGGTGACTTCCAGAGCAACAGGACGGTAAAAGCAAGTATTACGAGAGACTTGAACTTCAACCACAAATGCACGCCGTGTCCGCTAGTGGTGCCGATAGAAACGTGCCTCACCGCGACATTGCCGACGTTGACGGACAACACCAGGAAGCACAAGGCGTTTTCCGGGGACGTCATCACTATCGACAGATTCCTTGATGATGTACTGGTGCTGGGATCTCTGGCGAAGCCGCGCAAACTGACGGCACGAGGATCCAATGGACAGCTTTACGGTCTCTTGATTAAACCGAAGGACGATCTCCGCACCGACCAACGTCTCATGGAGTTCAACGGATTGATCAACCGGTCGTTAAAGCGCGATACTGAATCTAGCAAACGGCAGCTGTACATCAGGACATATGCCGTCACGCCATTAAATGAGGAGTGCGGCATCATCGAATGGGTTGATGGTCTGAAAACCCTCCGTGATATCCTTCTGGGCATCTACAAGACGCGAAACATCACACCCAACTACGGGCAAATCGCAGAACTGATGAAGCAGGCGTGCACGTCCGACGACAATCTCCATCTCTGGTCCAGATCCGTGCTCGGCATGTTCCCCGACGTGCTACCAGAATGGTTCATCTCGCAGTTCCCCGACCCATCAGCCTGGTTCGCCGCCCGACTGCGGTACACGCGCTCCTGCGCCGTCATGTCCATGGTCGGCACCATCCTTGGCCTCGGCGACCGGCACGGCGAGAACGTGCTGCTGGAGGAAGGAAACGGCGGCGTCTTCCACGTCGACTTCAACTGCTTGTTCGACAAGGGCTTGACTTTTGCCCAGCCGGAAAAGGTGCCCTTCCGACTAACACACAACATGATTGCGGCCATGGGCATCTATCGCTACGAGGGCCCCTTCCGAAACTGCAGCGAGCTGACGCTCAAGGTGCTGAGGCAACAGGAGGAAACACTGATGACGATTTTGGAGGCGTTCATCCATGACCCGACGCTGGATCTACAGAGGACCAAGAAGCGGACTCATGATGTGGTCAAGCTGAATCCGACAAGCGTGGTGGAGAGTATCAAGCGAAAAGTTAGGGGGTTGTTGCCGCATGAGAAGATCCCGTTGGGCGTGGAGGGTCAGGTGGAAGAGCTCATTAAGCAGGCTACGGATCCGAAAAACTTGGCTGCTATGTATATTGGATGGTGCCCGTTCTTGTAGTCTGATTAGCGTATCAATAGAGAAAACAGCCCGACAGGGTAGTTGGAATGTTTGCGAATGGAAGTGTGGGAAAGGGGAGGACGGGAGTTGTTGTTGACATCAGAAGCTCAGTCTTTGGCTGATAGCGCTACAGTGGGGTGCTACAGTGCTACAGCGCTGGAAGGGCAAATAGAACAGATGGCAAGTGCAAAGGGGTGCCAACTCACCTGCTCCTTCCTTGTGTTTCTGATTACCTACGCCTTGTGCCCTAATACCAGAATTGGTTATTTTAAAATGATTGACGACAAATTCTTTACCGTGGGCAAGTTCTCCCCGCAACCCATTTTGTACGGGTTTCGACGAGCATCATTCAGTTTGTTGTTGGCGACGGTGAATTTGTTGGCATTTCCAGGTATCCTCTCTAGCAACCAACCTAGTTATCCACCAAGTAGCCGAGAGGCAAGCAATCTAACAGCAGACAGCTACCGCCCTGTACTCGGTAAACCCCATTCATTCACCTCTCCGCGCCCAAACATCCACCCATCATTCTCTGGCCGTCTGTCTCGACAAGTCTTTCTCGCGTCCATTCCAACACAAACGCGTTTTTAATCCGTCGCAAACGCATCCAGGATTTCAAGTTTACGCTTCACATCGGCTACACCTCCATTGGGCTTGAATTATTTGTCAAGCAAAACTTTTACGTTAGGTCTCTTTCTTCGGCTCGCCGAAAACCAGGCCATTTCACCTTGTCTGTGCGCCCACCTGTCATCTTGCCCTCTCATCCAACTTGCCGAACAGACGACAACATAGGCCTTTAACATGCCTTACCGTATTGGTGAGTTCTCACTGCCTGACATGATATCAGATTATCTCGCCCTTTTAAAGCTTGGAACCTTGAAGCGATAGCTTTTTTGACCTTCAAAATTCTTCTGTGATGCTCCTCCGGTTTTGAATGTCAAAATCCTTGACAATATGACATCAACACCGTCCACCCCATCGGATTGTCAAGCACAAACACGGCCAAACCGACAAGAGACAGGAAACACCACCTCTTTCCATCCTCGAACCTGCCCATAGTTATCTCTTGTCTTCTCAAACGCGCAGCCTCAATGCATAACCATCTTACTTGGTCATTCACAACCGCTAACCCACTCTCCCAGAGGTTTCCAAGAACAACCGTGCCGGTTGCAAGGACTCGGTCTGCAAGAAGGAAGCAGTCAAGATCACCAAGGGCGAGCTCCGTCTCGGAACATGGGTTGAGATCAACGAGCATGGCGGCTGGCAGTGGCGTCATTGGTAAGAAGAGAGCTGGACCGGAATTTCGGTCACCGGTTGGCTTGGCCTTTGATCACCTTTCCCTGGACTTTGAGATGGACTAATATGTGCTGTTTGAATCTTTAGGGGTTGTGTCTCGGGAGAGCAGATCCTGAATATGCGCAACATGCTCGATAAGGACGGCACTGGCGACTATCAGTGGGATATGCTTGACGGGTGGGAGGAGCTTGAGTGAGTTCTGCTTTCTGTTTTCTGTTGAAATCTTGTTCTGCTTTCGTTAACTGCCAATCAACTGACAACACGCGCGTCAAGAGAGTTCCCCGTGCTGAGGGAGAAGGTTCAGCGGGTTATCACTCAGGGACACATCGACCCCGAGGACTTCAAGGGCGTGAGTATATTCGGCCACCGTTCCTTAGTTCCCAGCTGAGGTAGAATGCCCCTTTGCTGACATTACCTTTCCTCATCAAGGACCCCGAAATGAACATACTCGGTCAGAGAGGCATCCACTCCAAAAAGAAGAAGGCTAAGACGTCCGAGGACGACGAGGAGGAGGTATGCTCATTCATCAATGCGCTGATCTTTTTCTTCCCGCTGACACATAATGCTTGCTCCTCACAGGACATCAAGCCTGCTGCCAAAAAGCCCGCCGCTAAGCGTGGCCGCAAGAAGGCCGATGCCGATGAGGACGATGAGGAGAAGCCCCCTGCTAAGAAGGCCAAGAAGGCCGGAGGCAAAACTGCTACCGTCAAGAAGGAGGAAAGTGATGTCGAGGAGCAGGAGGCCGAAGAGGAGAAGCCCATTACCAAGGTCAAGGGCAGGGGTAAGAAGGCTGCTGCCGCCGTCAAGAAGGAGGAAAGCGACGCCGAGGATGTCAAAGAGGAGAAGCTTGCTACCAAGGCCAAGCCTAGAACAAAGAAGGCCGCCGCCCCGGCAGTGAAGAAGGAGGAGAGCGACGCTGAAGACGTCGCGGCTCTTAATGAGATCCCTGCCAATGAGGAGGAGCGGGCGAAGCCCGAACCTCCTGCCAAGAAGAAGGCCACCAGGGCTAGACCCCCGCGCGCAGCTCGCAAGGCTGCCATCAAGGAGGAGAGCAGCGACAAAGAGGATGAAGACGAAGAAGAGGAGAAGGAGGAGGAGAAGGAAGTCCCGAAGAAGAAGGGCAAGGCTGCCGCTGCCGCCAAGGGCAAGGGCAAGAAAGCGAAGAAGGCTCCTTCACCTGAACCCGAGTCTGAACACGAGTATGCTCAGCAAAGCGAGGAGGACAACGATGATGACAAGGATGTCAACGGGGAGTCTGATGCGGCGGAGGTGAAGGAGGAGGAGAAGGAAGAGAAGCCTGGTCCGAAGGCGAAGAGAGGGGGCCGCAAGGCGGCTGCCGAGAAGCCGGCTGTTAAGAAGCGTGGTAAAAAGGCATGAGAGGGTTGAAGCTGTTGATGTTATCTTTTTCGGTGTTGAGCAGCAGCAGCGAGCAGACCTGCCTATGCAGTGCTTGTGTTATGCGATGCCATGTGGTGCAGAGAGCGCGGCGGCGCAAGATGCCAGTAAATGTTCGCATGAGTTTTGTTATTTCGGTCAGATATCTCGAGACATTCTCTCTTTCAGTCAAAGGGCTGGCTGGATCTAGAATAGTATGTCAAAATTCAGCGAGTGTATTGAATGGACCAATTAAATGTAGGTAGTCTCTACTGTAGAGTTCCCATGTTGGTACGTAACCAGCCTTATGGTCCATCAGATTGATGAATAGATGAGAGTCACTCTAAATTCCGAATGAATATTACATGGACCATTTTCTCTTTACATCTCTTTGTTACCATATCCGGCTCTTTATGTCAGCGACACATCAAAACATGAGCTGCATAGGACTCAAAAGACCATGGTTGCATGACTGCGGCGAAGCACTGGACTTGACTTGACCAACACCTGAAACAGCAGCTGGTGGTTGGTGTTGGATAATGATGGTGTGGGCTGGTTGGTACAATGTGGTGTGGTACTAGTCTTTCTTTTGTTTGCGCTAGGTAGGTACTTAGACCTTTGAGACTGTGAAGTATATTTGGAAGTTGTTGCGTGATCTATCTAACTCGAGAGACAGGAAAGACATATAACGAACGGGCTTGATGTGCGCAGTTGCGCGATTCGTTTCGTCTCTTTTTTTTTAATGGTGTTCTGTCTGTTGACCGGTTGGAAAATTGAAACGTAGTGGTTGTCTTGTGATGGTGCCTATGTCTTTCTAGAAGTCTTGTGATGGCGATCCGGCACGTGTGGAATTATCAGGGATTAATCAGCTAGATAATTAGTGTTTCGATGTATACACTACTAGGTTTAGGTCCGTATGTCCATGATCGGAAGGGCGAAGTCAAGATCTTGATCTTTCGGATACAAAGTGGCCCATATGGATCATGTTTCACTCGAGATGCTACACATGGCAGACAAGCTCTCTGGAGCAGATGTGATTAATAGGCACATTTTACAGCCCAGGAAGAGAAAGATGCTTGAGAGATATACGCAGTTATTCCTGTTTTGGATCAGCATCGAGGATTTATTCATTCCGTCACTGCGCAGGTGCGCATGTGAAGAATTAGGTATTATTTACATGTAGCGAAACGTGTAGAACATGGATATAGTCGGCTATCACCTTCTATAATAGTTCCATCGTATTTGGCTGGCGCCCAACGAGTTTTCTACAATGTGCGTGGAAGGAGAAGAAGAAGAAGAAGCGAAGCAAGTCGAGGAGGTTGGTTATTTGCCTCTCTGGTCAGATCGGAAACGACCCGTTCTTATTCAAAACCTGATATCTCGAAAGTCCTGATCGGTCGAGATATCCGAATTGGGTTGTTACCAAGAGTAATATATGTCGGATTATGTACAGTGAAGTCCATTCCACGCAAGGGAATGAGAAGAACGAGCTCCGGAACAATACTGAGATACACGATTGGGTCAACGACACGAATGGTAACCTACCGGTTAACGTTTTTGCCACCTCAAGGGGTGTTGCATCTAAAAATGGCAAGACGAGCGGCCAAGACACGAGGCATGGCATGTGTCGGTTATGCTCATCATGTCTGTCATTTAGTGTATATGCCGGCACGCTTCATAATAGAAATCGTAGATCATTTCGAGTTTGAATCGAGTTCCTGATCATCTTTGCTACCGGCCTGTTTGTGAAGGAGTCTCGCACCCCTGAACATCAACTGGTACGACATCATGGAAACCTTACCGTACTTTACACGTACGGGTAATTTTTCATTGATGCCCAATCCAGCCAAAGCGATGATCCAGCGGCTCCAGGAAAGCAGGCGGCTGGTCGGAAGGTGGTGCTTGGAAGTTTGAAACCATCGAGACCCTGATGGACCAGGGGTGCAATCGGCTATCCTTATCGATAGTGAGTACGAGGAGGCTCTGAAAGGCGGGCATGCATTGGAGATTCTGTCGTGTGCTATGGTACAACGTTGATTGCCTGACTGAAATCATATTGTTTGAGGCTCTGGGAAGCAGTCATTGAAGGCTCATTTTCTGTGTTTGTGTAGTAGAGAAACTTGGGCTCGACCGGCGGGTTTGTGGTTCCAACGCACCGCTTTTTTTCATTTGATGTTGTGTTTATGACTGGGAGATATTCTACGGAAAAGTGTAGTGTAACTGGCTCCGTATTCCCCAGGAGTCATCCTCGCACCATGCTGGCGATCAAGCAAGACAGACGTTGATTCTTTTGTAAGGAAGAACGACCGAGATGGTGATACCAGCAGGTGTAGATATAATACTTTCGAACCTTCGGCTTTCCTTCGGATGACTGCAGAATTCTGGCTCTGGTTCTGGCCAGCCCTATAACACAGTACCGTATACCCACTTGGACAACTCCATGTGTAATGCACATATGGCTTCCTTAACCGAACACCACTCGATCGATGAAATAGATGAGGCCAAAGTTCTTGTCCCGAAAAGCAGGTCGGGGGATTTTCCTGTGGTTTCTCGATGTCTCACTGGCCAGACTATGTTATGGTTCGAAGCTTCAAGCTGCATGATTGCGTCACAGAGTCACCCTCAAACCCCGCTGGCACCGCTGAGTGCTGGCGACGCTGCCGCCGGCTGTTGACACTGCACTACCATAGATTTCCCACTTCTTCAATTCCGTCTGGACCCCATTTCGGATGTGCTCAACACAACAATGGGGCCGCCGATGGCACGAAAATTTGTTCTCTTCTTTTTCTTTTCGTTAGTATCGCTTCCGCATCCCGAAGATTCGGTTGCGAACACGGGATCAATGCGCAAGGAGACGCGACGAGTTCATCCAAACATTTCCACCGAGATTTTGGTCCGATGTTGTGGAAAAATCCCGATGAAATGGAGAAGTATCGGATGACTGGTCGATCATGGTTCGTGTGACTGGGGAGTCAAGGGAAGGCCCGTGTAAACATGTCGACGAATTACGAGGTAGTGAGCGGATGCGATGACGAAGATCACAAGCAAAGATTTTGACCTGTTTCATTTTTACGATTGTGAGTGGAAAGCAATGGAGATGGTGGGGCAGGCTAAAACACACACCTCGGGAACGACAAGGGAGGGGAAGCGGAGGGGGAGCATGCCGCCGTAGGAACAAGCGGAGGGGCCGAGACAGAAATTGAAAATCCGCTTGTCTCATGAGCTTCAGCCCGGCCAGTAGGATAGGCGTTGATGGCCTGAAGCCCAGCGCGACTACACAGCTTTGCTGACTGGATGTCTGAAATCCCGCGCTCTGCCCCGTTGACGGATTCTAGGTCATTCGGAAAACAGACTCGAGACGTTCAAGTTGTTCGGCTTCGTTACAATGGCGGTTCTGGTTGGCGTGCTGTCCGTCCTCATTGTCCCTGGTTCTGACGGGAATGCTATCACCGTGTGACCTTATGTTCGTTGCCTCAAGGTTTTCCAACACAAAAACAGAAGCAGCCTCATCAGTAACCCCAATAGAGAAGCTATCACTACCTCCAGTTTACGTATGCCGTAGAGTCGGTTGTCGACGGCCGCGGCCTGCCTGCCCGCCCGCCAGCAACGCCGTGGGCCCAAACCTTTTCAAAGCCTGTCGCGGCGCAGCACAGCCCGCCTGCAGGACGACGTAAAGACGGAACTCGTGCTGTTGGGCGTTGCGGCTGGGCACCTCATGCAGTTATGCACTAAGCAGCAGCTAGTCAGTGGCTGGTTGTTATAGTTCAAGTCTACCCGCTGGCAGTGGAAACAATTGTCAACTTTCCACTTCTCGAGCTTGACACAGCCAAAGCGACTGTAAGGCGACGGCATCGCCAGCTCCGTGTCATTAGCCTTGCACGCTTCCTGTTTCCAGAGCTGAGTGTTCGGGAAATGATGGTGACTGCCGGGTGGCTTTGCTGATGGGAAGATTCTAGACTTTGAGGTTGACGGGAGGAACCAAACTGCGCAAACCCATCGGCCATCGTGAGGTATTCCTGAGTAACGTAACCCGAGTGTAATTAAGCACAATGTAAGGTACCTCAAACCCGTCAACTCAATCCACGGACTCCAGTCTCACACTGCGTAGTTCGATTGGTCTTCACTTTACTAACAATAAGCCTAGATAAACATACGACACACACCGTATTAGTTCTTTCGTTCACATGCGTGGTTGAGTGGAAATCGTGTTGCAACGAATCTTGATATTGTCCCTGCTGCTGTTTCTAGGGGACCAGCCCCTCCAGACCCTCCAGGTCTCACACAGCCCGGTACGTACCGTAATGACACCCCGTTACACCAAGTCGGGCCAGGGGTTTGGTAAGTTTGGATGGAACTTCCACTTGGGAGGGCGCCTCACAGCAAGCGCTGACCGGACGACACTAGTGCGCAAGGATGCAGCTTGTATGAGCAGGCTCCAAGAAACGGAAGGTATTGGGACGGTGGGATGATGACGTTGGTTTCGAGCCCAATTACATTCCCGCTGGACGTCCAATGTCACTGGTCACCGAAAATGTCATGGGCGGTTCCTCCCAACCTCAACATGCTCAATCAGGGCATTCACGGAGAGAAAAAGCACTTTGACATGGCCAGAAACTGGTCACGAAGCGGGCCGGACCTTGAATCTTCATCAAACCCAGCTCAACTTTGCTTCGGTAATGTACCTAGTATCACATATCATGCTACGCCCCGGTGTTTGTTCCACTGGAGGAGTAAACGAGTTGGAGTGCGTGCCAGTCAGGGCAGTTACCTACAGTCACTCCTCTCCGGTGCCCGTTGCTGCGCAGTTACCTCTAGGTTCCAGAAGTGAGTGGGTTTCGGGAGCCTTCTTCTCCATGCCCCTCCCCGTCACTGCCTCCTTCCCGAAATGTGTTTGTCTGTTTCTCCTCCTCCGTATCTCGTCGTCTCCAAAGTATTTGTCCTTCAGACTCCCAGTTCATAATCTGTAGTTCTCTCAGCTGGTCATCAGAGTCTTCTCGTAGGTTCCTGGCAAAAAACATAGGTACCCAGATTTGGTCCTAACCGCAGCCCAACCACACGAATTTCAGGGCCGACAGTCATCCATCACATCATCAGCAGGCCCCTGGTTAAGAGCTGAGGAAGGAACTTGGTAGCTTGCCAAGATCACGGTCACACGCCCACTCTCTTCCACTCGCCCACCCTGTCTGTCCACTTCCTAGTCTCAAACCAACCCCGCCCTTCCTACTCCCACCCTCTCTGTCCACGAGTTCCTTCTCCCGGCTTCCCCTCTTACTTAAACGTCAGGCTCTGCCACATCCCGCAGCCTGGAAGAAGGCTGGCTTGAGAAATTTTCATAACCCAGTCATCACCCCGCTGCCCTGAGAACCCAAACTTCACTTGGTCATCCATCCATCCATCCTCTCTCGGTCCTTGACCAGCTAGCTGTTCATACCACCACCCAACAACAACAACAATCACAGAACAACCACAACAACAACAACACATATCATACATCACTAGCGACTATGGCCAGCAGAAGCCGGGTCGAGTTCGACGACTACTACAGGGAGTCCCCCCGCCGCGCTCCTAGCCGCGGTCCCAGCCGTGCTCCTAGCCGTGGCCCTCCTGTCCGCTACGCGGATGAGGACATCGATATTCACGTCCATGACCGTACTCCCGCCTTCCTGCGTGAGGACAGGCGCTCCGATGCAGGTCAGCTGGTGCTGAGGCAGAGGGAGGTTGAGACTGTTGAGCGTCCCAGGCGAAGGTCACCCAGCCCTGTGCACATGCACGAGCGCATCGTCCACAGAGCTAGGAGCGTCAGCCCTGAACCCCGGAGACGCACAGAGGAGTCGGACATTCATATCCATTCCATCGACCGTGTCCGCGAGTCTAGCCGCCCTCCTGCTGACAGGATTCGCGCAAGCACCCGCATTATCGAACGTCAGAGGAGCCCGTCTCCTCCCCGCATGGAGAGGCTTGAGATTCGGGAAACTCAGCGGGAACGCCAGCGACCCCGCTCCCCTTCGCCTGACCGGAACATCCGTGAGCACATTCGCATTGTTGAGAGGGAGAGGGAGAAGGAGCGTGAACCCAGCCCGCCACCTCAGCCTCAGCAGCCTCAGGTCATCAAGGGACCTGTCATTGAAAGAGAAGTCATCACTCACTACCGCGATATCGACCATGGTATGTCACTTGTCCAACCCATACGCCAAAATTTGAGTTTGCAGGATGCTAACACATTCAAGGCATGATCTCCGTCCGCCCACCATCTCGGCCTGCCTCCCCAGTTCGCCGCAAGCAGCCGCAGCTTTCCGAGACCGAGATCGACATCTACACCTCTCGCAAGGACACCGAAATTGACATCCACAGGCACGCCTCTCGGAGCCGTGGCCGCTCTCAGGAGCGCCGCTCACCCAGGAACGCTTATGATGACGATTTACTGATCCATGCCGATACCGGTCGCCTCCATGTCGACGTTGAGCGTCGCCGCAGCGTCTCCCGCAGCGGCCGTCGTGCCCATTCCGAGGCTCCTCCCCACATTGACTTTGACGATGAAGCTAGATACATCACGTCCAAGATCGACTCGAGGGGCCAGATGGGTGAGGCGTACAACGGTATCACCAAGGACTGGACCATCATCGATGTTCCTCCCGGAACCGAGCGCGTACGATTGGATGGTGCCGGTGGTGCCTCTGCCGAGGTTACATGGCAGAAGTACAGCGGAGTTAGGCGCTCTCAGTTCATCCCTGAGCGTGATGAGAGGAGTGTTGTTTCCGCGTCCTCTGCTTCTGACCGTGACCATGACCGTGAGCGCGACCGTGAGCGCGACCGTGACGCCCGCGATAGCAGACTCAGCATTCAGATCTACAACGAGCGGGGCGGTGATGAGCGGGAGAAGCGCATCAGCATCCACGGCTCACAGAACCCCCGTCGCAGCGAGATGTGGACCGAGATCACCAAGGATCTCGTCACTCGTGAGGCCATTGAGGAGCTTGGTTATGACTACGAGGAAACCGAGTACTTCTTCTACATCATGCAGTACCTGCGCTATGTAAGTTGCCTTCCCTGTCGAGCTCATACTTTCTGGGCTAGTCACTAATGTTGGTAAACAGGAGGATGTTCTTCGCTGCGTTCAGCTTTCCGACAAGATTCGCCAGGCTCGCAAGGACCGCATTCGCGAGATTCAGTGGGAGCGCGAGTACGGTCGCGATGATTACGAATTCCGTGATCATTATCACAACCCTCACAGCCACAGCCGTCATCGCTCGCGCGATGATCGCTGGGACGACGAGCGCGAGCGTATCGTCGAGCACGAGGTCATCTATGACAGCAGGGCCGGGAGCAGGTACCGCTAAACGCTCACACGACTATAGACTTGGCACGCTATGTACGGGAAGGTAATACCAAGCGCGTTGGGTGAAAGGGTTCTGCTTTTCATTATATTGCCATCTTCTTCTGCCTATACAATTTTTTTTTCCTCCTTTGGGTTGTTTTGGAAGGTTCTTTTTGGTTAATCATGTTACCCCTCACGTCATGTCAAGATGTATGTTGTGTTTGGTTGTTATTTGGATGGTTGATATTATGACTTATGATGAAACAGAAAACATTATGTATGAAGATGATGAACAATTCATGTATGCGATGAATGTCAATGAGCCCCGCATTCAGGATGTTGGTTATATGTACGTTCCATGGCTGGAAGAGCTGGAGAGGGGTGGTGTAGTGGTGATATTCTTAGACCAACAAAGCATATACCTAAAAGGTACCGTAGACGACTCTTTACGTCGTTTTGTGACCAATCTGTGCCCCATGACTTTGTTTACTGTTAACGATTTCCACTGTACTTAGTATTCCAATATTGCATTTTATACGCAGTATTTGTTTCAGGCAGCTCAGGTTTGTACGAGCAGTCATCCAGAACCTCGGACGTAAGTGATGATTTGTGACCTTGTCGTCGTTCGTACTGCAGTACGACAAAGTGTACCATGAGCAGATCAAGCAAACAAAGGGAAAAAGGGGGTGGCGAACCATTTTCTCAACTCAGCTATACCACCCTGGAGGTGTCAGTTTGCTGTACACTAGAACTCCTAATTGAAATGACTGCCCACCATTCGCTGTTTCGTGAGCACGCTGCTGGGACTCAAAGTTCAGCGTTGAACACACCAAATGGTTCGAAACCATATAATGTTAACTTTTCTCTTTTCCCGCTATAAGAGGTAACAGAACCTTGCCAAGTAGGCCGGCTGATACCAATGTGGAATGCGTCTATACCGTAAGATAGAATTGAGTTTCCTATACGTCTATCCAGGTCTCAACCACCAGCCGAATGATTCTTTGTGAAGATATACCAGGGGCAGAGTATGTTTGTGGGTATGTTTTTGTAACGATCAGTCGTTGACCGATCCAGGTGGACAAAGGTACATTGTCTCTGGAGACCTAGCCCTCTTGTACTTCAATCTTGAGTCTTCTCATCCAGTGACAGTTTCGAGAAACGATAAGTACGCTTCGTTTACGTCCAACATCCGCATCCACTCCCGCTCCCGCTCCCGCTTTTTGGTGCTCAACATCCAATCGTCAAACCCAACGGGCGATCCTCCTCACCCAACCAGTCTTGCAAACCAACCGCTGTATCACTTACGTATCCAAGTCCATGTCCCCAAGTCCCAGAAAGAGTCATGTCTCATCTTGAGCTTCTTAAGCAGACAGCACCGATGACGACGGTCCATTTGCCAAGATGTGCTTGACGATTTCATCTAGACTACCGCCGCCCTGCGTGCCAGCGGGGCCCGAGGCAGTCCACTTCCACTCATGCTGAACGCGCTGGCCGTCTTCCATATAGTCTCCGGTGACGCGTAGCTCTGGCTCTTTTACTGCATCGTCAGCCCCATCACCGCGAGTGTAGTTCGAGGTAAAAGCAAACCGGACGCCGAACGTCTCGGTGTCGTCGTCTACTAGACCCAGATCATCTGGGTGGATGATCCAGGTTGTAGTATTAGGAGCAGGAGGAATTGGGGTTTCGCCGTTGTTGCCCTTGTTCCCGCTGTTCCGCATCTCCTGGACAAGCGGGTAATAGTACATGGTCAGAGCGCGGGGCACCGCGTTGCTAAGGTAGCGAACCAGCTCCTTGATATTCTCGTAGACCGAGTCGGTCTGGTTAGGCGGGAACGAGCTGGTGAGGTGGTTAGACTGCGGGTGGAGGAGGTAAATGGAGAACCGGGTGCCGAAGACAGGAGTAGGCTTGGCGAGGATGCGCACGCGCGAGGCGGGCGTGATGGTCAGGTCGAATTGGACTTCTGAAGGGTGGAGGAGGGTCTTCATGAGTGCCTCGGAGGGCGGAGCCGTGGGGGAGCCCTTGTTGATGCTTTCGGTCATGCTGAAGGAGGATTGGATTCCCGCGGAGCGGAGAGCGCCACAGAAGGCGGCTAGGAAGGTGGTGCAGTCCTCCAATGTTTTCTCGTGTCTGTAGTAGGTGATGATGGGGAGAAGAAGGTTGTAGGGGGGTGGTGGGCCCCTCATGGCATTGGCTGCAGTCCGCTCAGAGCGCTTGAGCTGGTTCTGCCTGTGAGCGTTGCTCAGAAGGAGATGGAGAGTGATTGAGGCCGTTTCGGCGTCGAGATCGCCGGGTAGAGGTACCCTGGAGTGATCTTGGTCATCCAAGCCTACCAGCTCGAAGGAAATGGTCCGATTGGGATCAAGGGCGCAAGTTACAGCTGACTGCTCTAAACGGACATGGTGACCGTGCAGTGTGCGACCTTCCCGATTGATTTCGTGCCATAGCTCTTGCGCAAATATGGTATTCCGTGCTTCTTTGACGCGATCGTCCAACGGAGCATCGTCGGGTAGGGGTCGAGGAAGGGAAGATCTTCCGACAACCTCCCTGTTGTGCAGAAGGGTGGCCTGGAGACGTTCGGATTTGGAACCCATTCGGCCGTATTCCAGACGGACTGAACCATCCTCGGCCCTTTTCAATGGCGCAACGCTATTGTTCTTGAACATGGGGGCAGCATTAGAGAAGCCAAACTTGACGCCCATGTCGTGTGGCTCTTGGGGCAGGCGGGCGGTTGACCAGCCCTTTTGGCTGACGGTCAAGACTTCCTGCCAGTACTTTGTCTCGGAATTGATCTCTTGGCGAAGCCTGTTGGCGGCAGCAAGGGCAGTGTCGGCTGCCTCGTTGAGCGCGACCAGTCGCTTGCCGATGGTGATCAGCTTGTTGTCGGCCACTCTACTCTGGGTCAGAGGAGTCGGCGCGTCGAGCTGGGTGGCGCCGATGGATCCAATCGGAACTTGATTTCGTAGCCATGGCGAAATAGAGACGGCAGCTTGCGTGGGGATTTCTTTGGAGAGAAGGAGCGAGATGAAGTCGAGGAAATTCGAGGAGATCTGGATCGCCTGACCGAGGCTCATGATGATGTTGTGGCGAGCAGCAATGATGTCGGGTTTCTTGGAGTCGTCATCGGCCTCCTGGTCGGTAACCATTTCGACATCCTCGTGATGAAGCCCATTGCGCTCGGCAATGACGTTCCTGCGCACCTCCTCTTCGTTGAGAGCTCGAAAACCACCGGGCTCTGCGTTGACGCGTCGGATGAAGTCGGCGATTGTTTGGGGCCCTCTGCTGTTTGGCGGCCGTGGCCGTAGGTTGAGGGGAGAGTCCATGGTCCGTATGATGACCTCCAAATACTGAAAATGTAAAGTACTAGTATCGTTGTTGCTTGTGCCGTAAGAAGCCAGGGGCATGCGATACAGCTTCGAAGGTCAAGGCGACAGACTGGAGCGTCCATTACGGAAGTGCCAGTGGAAGCTACCTGCCGAATGCCGTGCACGGCAGGGACGCACAGACCACTGCATCCGTGCCGTTCCCGTCCATTGCGGGCCGCCGGGCGACAGTCCAGTCGCACTGCAGTGAATGAAAGAGATGGAAACTATGGAACCCTGCGCGCCGCGTGGGTCTGTTCCGTCTTTCTCGGACAGGCACACAACACAGAGAGACATGTACCGGCCGGACGGCGGCAAGGTGCGCCGAAATGGCTCAGCAGGGGTGGCACAGGGATGTCATTACGTGCGGTAGTGCTCAGACACTGTACTGTGTTACCTTTGTGTTATCGATAGGCCCTTCTTTTTGTTTTTTTCCCCCAAAAGTTGGCCGAGCGGGCAAAGTTGTTCCAGTCAACGGAGTGAGGCTGTTCCCACTCTTTCACCACCCGAGAGGCAAATCACATGTTCTTCAGCAGGACGGCTTACACCGCTCTGCAACATGTGAGAGATGATGGGCAGTTTCACACGAGTAATACCTTGATTTTGTGAAGACGGTGGACAGATTTTATACAGGTCGGCCCTATCTGATCCTGTCCGAACCCCTTGGCATTCCCATTCCAATGCGGCTGGGAAGAGAAGTGGTACTAATAAGGTTTTGCCCTGATGAGCCCTGGCAATGGATCGTCTCTGCCGTGGGTCGCGGCGGGCACGGCGGGCTCCATACTATTGACGTTGTTAATGGCCATTCCACCCCGCCGGTTATGTCATCGAATGACCCAATTGCTCTTGCTGGGGCTGCAAAAACCCCTCACCACCAAGACTACCCCAATCCGCCGAGCACTCAGAGACCTGCACCACCACCACGCTTCACCACGTCTTCGTTTGACATGTCAGAATTCCTCCGAGATACTTGAAGGCTCGGTGGATGAGAGCGAGGTGTTTGCTGTGTTGTTACGACTCGGACGATTCGCCCGGGCACTGCATGTTAAAGTCGAGGTTCCTGTCCAGTGAGGCCGCTGGAGAGGTGTCAATGACCCCGCCATTGCCCGCCGCTCACGATAAGATAAGAGCTCTTTTCTTAGCACCATGCTGCTTAGCGCCGATGGCCAGGGCACCCCGTCACCTATGTATCCATGTCAACTGCAGTAGCCGATCAGCAGAGCACACTTCCACTCCGAGCTTCCACTCCTTGTCGGCGTAACTACCCAGCAGCTGCATAGGTACCTACACTACAAGGAGCTGCTTGTTGCGGGCACTTGGGCCGCTGCCCGGCCAAGACTGAAAAGAATTCATCATCCGATTTCCAAGTGGAAAGCTGACGTTCCATGCCCTCTTTTTGTCCCTTCATCTCGCCTCCGTCTTTCTCTTGACGTTTTCCTGAACCTCGTACCTACCTACCTACCTACCTATCTATCCATAACACGAATCTTCTGCTTGTTGCGATCCAAGACCGGGCCGTCATTCGTTCTGCCAACATCGTCAGGACAGTGACTACACTTGCACAAGGCTCCTTGAATCAATCGGTGCTTCCAGGTTGGAGCCTGGAGCATGCCCATTTTTGACCGAGCCATCTTCTCTCGGCCATTGTCTATCCTCAATAACCCGTTCCCGGCGCTCTTTGCCCTCGTCCTGCTTTCGGCCTCCTCGCTAGGCATCCGACTCCTGCTGAGCTCGACTACCCCTCACAAAGTACCACCAACAAAGATGTCGCCAGCACCCATCAAGATGGCGCCCAGAAAGAAGATCGCCATCATGACCTCGGGCGGCGATTCCCCCGGCATGAACGCTGTGGTACGCTCGTGCGTCCGCATGGCCATCCACATGGGCTGCGACGCCTACTGCGTCTACGAAGGCTACGAGGGTCTGGTTAGAGGTGGTGATTTCATAAAGCAGATGGACTGGTTTGATGTGCGCGGCTGGCTCTCGGAAGGCGGCACCTTGATCGGTACCGCTCGCTGCATGGCTTTCTACGAGCGCGCTGGTCGCCTTACTGCCGCCAAGAACATGATTCTCAACGGCATCGATGCCCTCATTATCTGCGGAGGAGACGGCTCTCTTACCGGTGCCGACAGGTTCCGTGCCGAGTGGCCTTCGCTGTTGGAAGAGCTGGTCTCTACTGGCGAGCTGGCGGCCGAGCAAATTCAGGCTTACAAGCACCTCAACATCGTCGGTATCGTCGGTTCTATCGACAACGATCTGTCCGGTACAGACGCCACCGTTGGCTGCTATTCGGCTTTGGCAAGAATTTGCTTGTGTGTCGATCTGATCGAGGCTACCGCCTCTTCCCATTCCCGTGCCTTCGTCGTTGAAGTCATGGGCAGACACTGCGGTTGGCTAGCTTTGATGGCAGCTGTTGCGACAGGCGCAGATTTCCTCTTTATTCCCGAGAAACCTAGGGAGGACAACTGGAGAGAGGAAATGCGTAGCGTTATCCAGCAGGTACGTTTTCCGTGTTCGGCCTGGGCTACAGTGCCACCGAATAAGCAATGGCTAACAAACGGAAACAACAGCACCGCAAGCTTGGAAAGCGCAAAACCATCGTCCTTATCGCTGAGGGTGCTCTCGACAAGTTTGGTAACAAGATCAGCCCCGAAGAAGTAAGAGATCTTCTCGCCGACAAGAATGGCCTCGCCCTCGATACCCGCATCACTACCCTCGGCCACGTTCAGCGCGGTGGTACTGCCGTCGCATATGACAGAATGCTCGCGACCCTTCAGGGTGTTGAGGCCGTCAAGGCTGTCTTGGAAGCCACTCCCGAGACCAAGACTTGCTTCATTGCCATTACCGAAAACAAGATTGTCAGGAAGCCCCTGATGGAGGCGGTACTGGATACCAAGCAAGTCGCCAAGGCGATTGAAAGCCAGGATTTTGACGGAGCCATGGCTCTTCGTGATGCCGAGTTTTCGGAGCAGTACAAGTCGTTCATGATGACAACTGCAGGCCAGATCGATCACGAGACATTGCTGCCTGAAAAGGAGGTGAGTGATGATCATGCTATTTGCGTTTCATCTGGCTGAGTTGAGCTAACCTCTATTCAGCGCATGAAAATCGGCTTTATCAACGTCGGTGCCCCCGCTGGAGGTATGAATGCCGCCGTCCGCGCTGGTGTGTCGTACTGCTTGTCTCGTGGTCACGAACCCATTGCGATCCACAACGGCTTTGCAGGCTTTGCGCGCCATCATGCCGATTCGCCGGGCTCAGTGCGGCCCTTTGACTGGCTTGAGGTTGATGGCTGGGCTAGCAAGGGCGGTTCCGAAATCGGCACCAACCGTGAGCTCCCGAGCGAGTCTGGCATGGAGACCATCGCCAACCTCATCGAGCAGTACCAGTTTGACGCCCTGTTCCTCATCGGTGGCTTCGAGGCTTTCCACGCCGTCTCGCAGTTGCGCAAGGCCAGAGAGCAGTACCCCTCTCTGTGCATCCCCATGACGCTGCTCCCAGCGACCATCTCCAACAACGTTCCCGGCACCGAGTACTCTCTCGGTTCCGATACTTGCCTTAACGAGCTTGTCGACTATTGCGACAAGATCAAGCAGTCCGCGTCTGCCACTCGCAGACGTGTCTTTGTCATTGAGACACAGGGTGGCCGTTCCGGTTACATCGCGACTCTCGCCGGTCTCGGTGTTGGTGCCTCGGCCGTTTACCTTCCTGAAGAAGGTCTTAGCTTGGAAATGCTCAGCGAAGACGTCCGTCATCTGAAGGAGGTGTTTGCTCAGGACAAGGGACAGAGCAGAGCCGGTCGCTTGATCCTGATCAATGAGAAGGCCTCCAAGGTCTACAATGCCAAGCTCATCGCCGACATTCTCCGCGACGAGGCCCACGGTCGTTTTGAAAGTCGTGAGGGTATTCCCGGTCACATGCAACAGGGTGGTGTTCCCTCGGGCATGGACCGTTGCCGTGCTGTCCGCTTGGCCATCAAGTGCATTCAGCAGCTCGAGAAGTATGGACGCAACGTGCACAACCGCGTCAAGGTGGATCCCATGAGCGCTAGCGTCATCGGTATCAAGGGAGCGAGTGTTATCTTTACGCCGGTCCAGAAGTTGGAGGAGGAGGAGACCGACTGGCCCAACAGACGCCCCAAGGCTGCCTTCTGGCTTAGTATGAAGGAGATCGTTGACATCCTTGGAGGCCGTCCTCGGCACACCTTGCCTGAGCCCGACCTTACGGGCGTCAAGGCCAAGGACGTGAAGCGTGGACTGGAGCCGGTCGCCAATTAAGCCTTCCCTACATTACCGTTTCATGCCTTACTTACGATTAAAATGTTTATGCTCTGGGAGTTTTAGCAGTGGTGAATGTGATTTTGCACCAAATTGGCATGGATAAGGAGTCTTGTACCTAGATGGGGGGGACAATGCAAAAGGACGGTATCGTTATGGTTGTATGAGAAGATTAGGTATGAAAAGAAATCAGATGACTCTTGAGACAGAAACCTGGGACAAAGTGAACTCGACTCATTTTTTTTTTCGGTTGTCCAAGGGATGCTTAAGGACGAATGAACCACATGTATTAAATTATAATATTGGTACCAACAACAAAAGGTGGAAAAAAATAATATGGCAGATGGCCTGACAACATCGGGCCTTCATTGTAAGCCATATCCTCAACAGTTTTCTTTCTTTGTCATCGCTACAGTCAACAAGAACGTGACGAGATCAAAGAAGCTCGTCCGCCTGTTGATCGTCAACTCGTCAAGGCCAATTCACACCAAAACATCCCATTTCCTTCAATTCATCATCTCGATATTCTAAAATCGGTGACTACACCCTCCTCTGCCCCACGTACCCCTGACCCCCAGGATGACCATGATGCCCTGGCGCCTCCACCCTTAACGCCGTGTGATCCGCCATTAACTCATGACGATAAGCCTGGTCCGGCAACTCAAACACCGCCCTAGGCGCGTCCAACTCCATCGGCCGTTCCATCCTGTCCAGCTGCTGCACGTTTGTATATCCTCCACCCCCAGGATGCATCTTCTGGTCCCATTCCCCTGCTCCTGCTCCAAATCCGTATCCAGTGGCGAGCGTGCCACAAGGCGGAATGGGCGAGGTAGTGGCGCTCGGGGCTTCGGATCCCACGACCGTCGTACCGTCTTCGGGGCTGTTGAGATTGGTATTAGAGTTTTTGTTATTGTTCCGCCGGAAGAGGAAAAAGGCAGCCATGATGACGCCTAGCGCGACGACGCCCAGGCCGACGCCGACGCCGACGCCAATCTTGGCGCCAGAGGAGAAACCACCACCCGAGGCAGATTCGGCGGTGGCTGACGTTCCCGTAGTATCGGGGCCCGTAGCCGAACCGGACGGAGTTGATGGAGAAGTGGTCGTGGTGGTGGTGGTGCCGCCGCCGCCAGAAGTAGTAGAGCTAGTCGGCTGCTCCTTCGCGCCATCATTGGGATCCCACTCCGGCACCGTCCGCCACGGCTTCCAAGCGTTATCATTGCCGTTCAGCGCCACCTCGGCCAGCTTGCCGCCCACTATATAATAAATGCGCACTTTTGCGCTTTTCGTTTCCTGGATGATGGCGCTCACGACGGCAAGTTCGGCGTTGGCTTCGTCGGCTTGCGGCCAGTAGGCTGTGGACTGGTTCTCCGCGACGCCCCAGACGTAGTTTTGCGTAGTGAGGCGGTACAGGGACTTGTCGCTGCCGACGTAGTAGACGTTGCGCGAAGCGGCTGTGTAGAAGCTGATGCCGATGGATTTGGGCTGGCCCGTCCAGAAGGGGAGGGAGTAGTTGGAGGGGGCTGAGTAGTCGATTTTGAATGAAGACGAGGGGGTGGAGCAGGTGCTGAAGCTGCCCTTGAGCGGATGGGGGGTGGTGGCTGGATGGATGGATGAAATGGGGGAGGTTAGTAAGGTATGATGATGTTTTTGGAGTAGGGTGTCGGTGTAGCCTTCCGGATGACAACTGGCAGATGATGATGTAACTTACAGATGTACCAATTCTTGTCCCGGCCCCATTGCGTGATTTGAATGTTTTTGTCGTCTCGAGGTGTGAAGACAGTGAAGTTGCCTTGATCTCTCCCGTCGACTGCGGCGATGGCATTGCTTCCTGGAACGTCATGGTTGATGGTTCCCTCCCAGTTCCAGGTAGTAGTATCTGGATCGTAGCTGAGCTCATTGAGATGCATGTTTTCGTCGTGGTAATAGAGCCGATAACCACGGTTTTGGTCGCGGAGAAAGGCGGCTATGCCAGAGTTTGTGTGAGGTGCCGGCGCTCCCCCAGCCACAACGGGCCAGAATCCTGACTCTGCGTCCATGTAAAGACCGGTCGACGGATCACACTTGAAGATGGCATTTCTAATACTATTGGATTCATCGAAGTAAAATAATGATGCCCTGGGGTGAAGTTAGCAACGTTGTCGCCAGGAATAAGACAGAGAAGGACTGACCAGGTATTTGTTTGGTCGTACCAGCCGGTCCCGGCCAAAGGACTGCCGGCTTTGGGCGGGCTTTGGGTGAAATTGAGATAGTTGCCGCCCGTGGTTGAATAGTAGATAGTATCCATTCCCATGGTATTGCATCTGGTGTATCTGTATTGGCCAGTGGTCTCGTTCAAGACGACAACCTGACCAGCGACCGAGTTCCACCATGATGCCATGGTAGCCTCAGAGGGTGTGACCGAAGCCGCCACGAGCAGAAGCGTCAACAGCGGCTTGGGTATTGACATGGCGCCGAAAAGAGCCATTGAGAATGAGAGGAGAACCCGAGCACGGGGTTCGACTCTTGAACGGATGAAAGATGGATGTTACAAAAAGTAGCGGAACCGGAGGAAGAGGTGAGAGTTTACAAGGCGAGAAAGGGGGACGGCGTGGTCTTGGATACAAGTAATAGACTGCAGCGCGCTTGGCAGCAGCCGCAATGTCTAGCAACGAAAGCGACGTCGTGCAAACGGGCGGAATCCTTCCGCTTGATACATGGAGAGGTTACAACAGAGCCTGGAATAAGAAAAGAACGTGGGGGCGGAGCGGAAGAAAGTGTAATTTCAACCCCAGACAACTGGAACGTCCAATTGGAGGTTGCCTGGGTCTAAAAATCTCATACGAGTGAATCGTCTTCCAGTTCCCGTTCAAGTCTTAATTCCAGTCCAGAAAGAGCAGTCCAGCTCTGAAATAATGATGGGCCGGCTATTGTTTTTCCTTTTCTCTTTACTCACCCACTCACTCAGCATGACTTCCCTCCCCTTCTTCGTGATCCCCATTTCTTGCGGCTTTTTTCCATCCGACATGCATCAACTTCCAGATTCCGAGTCCTTTCGAGAGGCGGACACATCCTGAGGACCAGCCTTATCACCACCTCCATGCTTGTTCGGAGTTCTAACCCTGCTGCGCCTCCAGATTTGACGGTTTGATGGACCCCTTGTTTGACAGTCCCATCCCAGGAACAGGTAATCCCCATTGTTTCGGGACATAGAAGGCCGCGGTTGCGCACCTAGAGCGGTAGACATGCCACTTGGGTACGCCTCTGCATGAATATAAAACGTTAGCTTGGTACGACCAACAGGGAGCAGACAGATGACAGGATAGCTATCTCCTGTACAGATACCAAGGTTCCTTGCCACTCGCAAAGACTGAGCTAGCATTTTAGAGCCATGCAGAGGTGTAACATTGCGCGCGAGTGAACGGCGGCGAGCGAGTGATGGCCAGAGAGTCTAGCGGCTGCAGTGCAATGATCGAGGTCTGAATCCTGTCAGATGCCAAGCCATGGAATTGGGAACGTCAATGCAGGGCAGCCAACAGCACATAGGGGGTTCTCTTTTCGAGGGTGGTGTCGCTCACTGCTGACAAGGGGCGATTCCGTACTGCTGACCAGTCATTGCTCGTCATTTGGATGCCGTTCTTCCATCAGACTGCTGTTTTGATATATCACCATCCTCCATCCGCACTGTTTGATTTTGGATCGGAGTTTTGTCCCAACAAGGAAACAACCTACCCCAGATCTGTCCAGCCATCATCGGCCTTGCAAAAGAACCCCTTGTTTATCAGGTAGTCGCACAGTCATGTACACTACATATGACTGAGCTGACATCCATATCTCTTCGCTGTCCGCCATGGAATTGCGTCCTTGGACCCGTCGCCGATATCTTCAAGGTGCGCCTCATGAGAGACTGTGAGAGAGCTAAAACACGGTTGCAAACAAATATATCCTATTCGGGGGGGAGAGATGGGAAGTGGTAACTCGTAAAGCCATGGGCGCTGACTGAGTGACTTGCAGGAGATGGCCGATGATCGGTCGTCCTAAACGCCTCCCTCTCACACTTGTCCAAACGAACGGCGTCCATATTGACTGGCTCGACTGGCTATGGGCGCCCGAGAAGCGACGACGACCTTCCATGACTTGTCTACAAAATCCTTGATGAGTTAAAAGTATTGCGCTTCCGTTTGGAGCGGATTCGGCCGTTCTTCTGCGCACTTTAGATTTCAGACCTGCGTCTTCTTGCACGTGCATTTTAGCCACAACAACTTGGCTAGAATGTACTGGGGTAAGACCACCATTGGCGACTAGCCCGGTACAAGTAGTAGCATGCAAAAAGTATACTAGTGTACCATAGTATGTATATGGTGTGCCTGCTTGGCATTCCGGAGTGAACTTCCCCGGTCGTGGGGCGGGCTTCCCTATATCAAGACTACCTAACCGCTTTGGGAGCGACTTCTAGGAACTTGACTTACATCTCCACAGTCCTTAACACTTCACCTCAATACCAGGTTCAAATTCCGATAGCCGTTCCGTTGCGCGATCTTATTTGTACTACAGAAAAAAAGTTGGGAAGTCCTACCCGAAACGGTTAAGTAGTCTAGATTTAGGGGGAGGGGGGTAGTCTGCCGATAACCGGCCTCCCTGTTGATGCTCGCAATAGCATCACATATGTAGGCAGCGAAAGAAAAGACATGGGCGTATTTCTGCTGTTGTTCTTTGGCCATTCCGAAGTCGCAGCAATAGTAGCACCGGCGGGTTTTAACAGGGCAAGCAGTCTAGTGTGGCTAGAGAACTGATGTGGAAAAGCTCCTGATGCACAGTCATCATGTCGCAGACTGACGTCTCGTTGGGTAAAAAGGATTTTGGTAACATGAATATATTGGGTACACTAGGCAAGCTGAATCTTGTATCTGGCAACGCTTTCGAGGTTAGACAACAGAGACTTTTTATGGGAGCGTGAGAAGCCTCATCTCCTGGAACTCTCTGTTTCCTGCCTACAACAGTGCCATGTTTTCCTACGCAAGGTAGATCAAGGTAGGCAGCGCGTCCCCTTCGTCGAGAGAAACCAGCACATACAATATCGGAACCGACAAGCTTCGATCAATTTCAGATAAAGTTCCGCTGCTGATTTCCTCCTCATCAGCCAACAATTTATATATACATATTAATAGCAACACCCGCTGTCTAGTAACAAGCTGCCTGTTCAGCTTTATCGAGGCAGAAATGGTAATCCACCACAGCGGCATACTCCTCGATTCAACATGCCGAAAAGACAGAACTGTTTGTGAAACCCCCTGAATGCTCCAATACTGCATCGCGCAGATAGCAAATTCATACACAAGAGCGATGTTAACTCCGGGATTTGGTGATCACAAGGCGTTCCAAGCTATGCGTTTACATCGGCATCTCTTGGACCTGAAATACGCTCCCGCATCCACGTAATGTTTCTCTCCTCAACAATCGCAGCCAAAAAACGATGGTGACGGGTAGGGTAGCGACGTGCTCCTCCTCCTCTTCCTCCTCCTCTTTACTGTTGTCGTGCACCTCCACGGCGACCAGTGAAAAGGTAGTTGAGGTCGTCGATGGAAAGCCTTGCGAGCTGCTTACCCTCGGTCTCATCAAGCGCCGTCTCGACAATGTTTCGCTTCAGGTTCTGCAAATCGATGATGCGATCCTCAATGGTTTCTTGAACCAAAATTTTGTAAACGTGAACCTCCCGTTGTTGGCCGATTCGATAGGCTCTGTCGACGGCCTGGTCCTCAATGAACGGATTCCAAAAGGGATCACAAACAATGACGCGCGAAGCAACAGTCAAATTGAGGCCCGCATTTCCGGCTTTGAGAGAGACCAGTAATACCTTGACGTCAGGATCTTCGACAAACGCCTGGATGGCATTATCGCGTTGGGATCTGGACATATTACCTGTATAGCGACGGTACTTGATGTTGAGCTTAAACTTGAGAGAGCACTCAATGAGATCGAGATGAGACGTCCACTGCGAAAAGATGATGGCCTTCTCGTTGAACTGCTGAAACTGATCAACCAGTTCGGTCACTCGACTTACTTTGGCCGAGTCTTGCCAATGGTCCCAAGTGTACTGGAGTAGGCGATCTCGTGCGTCCTGGTTTCTGCTGGCGTTTGCTTCTTTGCGCAGTTGGTCAAAAACGGTCGGCTTCCAGTCCTCCTTCTCTTCCGGCTTAACCTTTGTAGGACGTTTCCCTTCGCTCTTTGCTTTACGCTTCTTCTCCCCACTGAGACTGCCCAGCGACCCATCCGACGTGTCTGATCCATCACCGACAAGAGAATCAGCATCATCGTTGTCCAACTTCTCCAGGGCTTCAGGCATATGAGCAGCCTGGAAAGACGTGTAATTGGTCACCCTTGTATGGTCAGCGGGGCCACGGCAAACCGGACATTTGGCGACATTCGCTCCGTCCTGTCCGTTTCGGATTCCGTTCATAGCGGATTGGTCAGTCAACGAGGAAAAGCAGTCCGCGCAAATATCATGACCGCAGGGAAGTAGGATGGTAGGGTCTATGACCGCATCGTAGCATATAGGGCATTCGAATGCCTTGATTTGCTTGATCCTGTCAATGACGACAGGCTCCAGGGTCTTCGCCAGCTCAATCATTGTAGCTTCGGCCAGATGATTCTTGGGGTTAGCCTCAAAGTCGGTGAGATGCGGGTGACAGCAGGCTTGTCTGAGTCGCAAGAGAAGGACGAGAATGTTTGAGTAATTCTTGCCCACCGTGTTATTTCTCACATATCTGCCGTAGATGACCTGGGACTTCTCTTGCAGATTCTTGTAGAATTCAAGCTCGCCTTCGGAGAACTCAACGTGCTCAGTGTACAGGGACTTCGGAGGCAGGTTCAGAATGGGATTGCCGTCTATCACCGTAGTCTTCATGCGCCTCAGCATTATGGCTTTCAACAAAGCCTGTAACTGTTTCATGGCCGTGCTCTTTTCAATGTCGCGTCCGTTGTACTTGTGGTCCAAAGATGCGAAGGCTTCTTTGAATTTCTTCTCGTCACAGAAAGGTTTGATTTGCAGGAAACGCAGCAGAGAGGAAAGCTCCGAAACACTGTTCATCATGGGCGTTCCAGTCAGACACCATCGGTAAGTCGCTCGAACCTGGCGGACAGCTCGACTCTGCATTGTATTGGCGTTCTTGACACATTGGGCTTCGTCTAAAATGACGCGGAAAAACTTGGTGCTAGGATGAAGCATCGGGCACTCGAGCCGATATCGCTTCTCAGCTTGCTCATCCAACCCATTCAGGCTCTCGGCATTTTTCTCGAGATAATGATGGTGTTTCTTGAATTGAGCAGTCAGGGTACCGTAGGTGGTTAGCACGACGTCGTACTTCTGGAGTTCCGTCCAAGGCTTCTTTTTTGACCCGCCGTGATAGAGATAGACATTCATGCGGCGGTCCTCTTTCATCTTGTTTTGGATCTCAAGTTCCCATTGCTTGATCAAAGCCACGGGGCCAACGATTAGGTTGGTTGCCACTTCACCCTCCGGAGCTCTGCGGCTAGCCATGAGTGCCAACGTCGAAATCGTTTTCCCCAGGCCCATATCATCGGCAAGAATTCCACCCCGGTTGTGGCCCCCTTCCATATCAGTCATCCACTTGAGTGCCAACTGCTGGTGTGGATAGAGGGGGTACTTCAAATCTGGTGGTGTGTCTCCGCGTTCCTCCGGTGGTATATCCTCATCTGGCCGGATGTTGGATAGCAGCTTACTGATCTCGTCCTCTCTCTTCAAGGGATCATCCAGACCGAGCGTCGTCAGCCTCTCGTCTAATGGATTCCCCCATACATCAGTCATGGAGCTGAAATCGTAGGTAGCAGTCCGACTGATTACGTCGGTCAGCGATGGTATGTGTACTCTGCTAGAGCCCGAGTTATTCGGCGCATAGTAGTCCCCATTGATTAATGTGCCCGGCCGCGAGCTATCGACGGTCACCAGGCCACCGGGTAAACTAGGAAAGGCCAGAGATCTGTTATCCGAAGAGAAGATACTATTGGAAGAGCTTGAGAGCTGAGGCCGAGCTGGTCGAGACGAGCGTGACGTACCCGATCTGCTAGAGACCGCAGGGTTGTGAAAAGGACCATTCCAGATATCATTTATGTCAGGCATCAAGTCCGGCGTGTTGTAGAGCTGAGGAGCAGGAGCAGGAAGTTGAGGGGCCGGCAAGCTCGTGCTGTGCGGTATGCCAGCTTGAGGGCCATGGTACGATACCTGATTACTCTGATAAGGAGCAAACGGCGAGGTTGGAGTCAAGGTCGCTGAAGATGTTGAAGTAGCTTGCGCGAACTGTTGCCCAAGCAGGGCGTCCACATCGACATCACTGATAGATAGCGACAGTTAGTAGTGTCACAGTATAAATCGAAATCCTAGGACAAAGATAACAATAGAGGTTCTACGTACTCGGTGAGGTCGATCAATGGGCCAGAGTCGAAGCCGTTGCCAAAGCCGAAGTTGTCGTCGAAGGGGTCAATGCCGTTGCCTGCGAAGGTGCTGGCATTGAAGGGATCCGAGAATGCCGAATGAGAGGAAGTACCGCTTCCAGAAGCCGTACGCTTTGAACTACGTCTGGTATCATTGAGAGCATCATTGCCTAAGCTGGTACCGATTGAGCGCTTCCGCTCCCGAGGAACAAACCCGCTGAAAGAGTTTTGGGCGTCTTCGGAACCGTCGAGTCGGGACTCATGTTGCTGGGGGAGTTGTTGAAGGTTTTCTTGTTCTTGCTGGTATAAACCTTGTAGAGGCCGTTGTTGCCCCTGTTGCTGATGCTGTTGCTGCTGTTGCCGTTGAGGAGGGTGTTGTTGGGGGTTTAGCCCCCTCTGTGTCTGTTGTTGACGAACTTGATTGCCCTGTTGACGTGCTCGTTGTTGTGCTGTAGCAGTGCCAGCTGGAGATCGCCCCCCATCCGCCGTGCCCCAAAAGCCCGCGTACATCGGGGAACCACGAGAAGCTCTAATCCTGTCCATGTCCCTAACAATGTCGCAGATCTTGTCATTGGTCTCGATGAGAATAGCCTTGCTCTCGTCAGTCTCTGGCTCTTCTTGGAGTTGAGCCCGCAGTTCCAGCTGGATAGTCAAGTTTATTTCCAAGTCGGCAAGGTCTTTAGCTTCAGCAGTGGGTTGAGGCTGGGGGTTCGGGGAGGGTGATCCAGTTCGTGTCTGCCGCAAAGAGGCGCGCGTCGAAAACACTGTTCCTCGGCTGGGGGTTGTCATGATTTAAGTGATAAGTAGGGCGACTCAACTGGCCATATGACAACGCAGCGGCGAAAGAGGCTCAGGGCTCGGTGAGTACGAGGGAAGGCGCGACCGGGGAACCTCGGCTGCAGGTAAAACAGGCAGGAGTCCGCCGCGATGTTCAAGTTTTGATGGATGCAAGGCAAGTGAGATTCGGTCGCGTTGGATGCTGTGATCAAGAGTAGAGGTGGGAAGTAGCAGCCAAAGTATTTGGAAATTTCCGGAAGGTGTCAGAGAAAAATGCAGTCATATTGCGTAGGTGAAGGTACTGGAGAGAGGACAGCTTGGAGTCTGTAGGCATCGGAACCTACTACGTATGTTCTTCAACTTGGCCTGCACTGGAGTGTCCTTTCCAAGGCCCGATAACAAGATCAAGAACCTGCACAGTTACTCCAAGACCGCACAGCCCGCTTCGAAGGTCTCAAGAGACCGTGTATTTCCCTTAAAGCCTCGGACCTGGAAATGGTTTTGCTCTTCACGCGTATCTGTGAAACGTTGGAGGCTCCTATTTGCCCCGGCGGTTGCCAGTCTACAGGTCGAGGTAGCTCGCGGCCTGGTGGGCACCTGCAAATCGGATGACGGTCGGCGATCTTGGCTGAAGAAACGATACGTGGGGTGATAACGCAAGCCCCAAGGGGTAGAGTTATCGAAGACGGGAGCAGGCTGAAGAGCCTCAAGTGGATTGTTTGAGTGACCGTGGCTGCCTGTTGTAATCAGGATGTCTAGACCGCGTGGCCATCCAGATGCCGTCGACCCAAAGAAGGCTGCATGCGCACCACCAGGTTTCTCTGGAGCTGGGTGTGGCCTCCAACTGACTTGAACCACGTAACAAAGAGGAAGATCCGTTTAACAAGATCGCGGTTTTGAGCACACCTTTGTATTTGTGTGGGTGATGCAGGTATTGGACGAGTCCAGCTTCAAGCGAAACTGCAGCTTCAAGCTGACATATGAAAGCCAAAGCGAGCCGCGTGCGGAAAGGAAAGGTGAGATGAGAAACAGAGGGCAAGAAACTTGTGTAATCCTCGTGTACGACGCTGACTCGGAAAGTTGCGCCGATTGTGAGGAGTCAAATTGAGACTCAGGTGGAAGGAGGCTGTGTTATTCGGAGGAAAAGCGTTTGCTTTGAATTGGTTGGCGGTTACCAGTTTGAAGCCACCAGAGAAGCGGAAACGTCGTTGGCAGATTGTTTCCCTTGAGAAAAAGCAATCACAAACGCCAACACGAGTGCCGACTTCTTCATTGCCGCAATCGATTCGGTTCAGACCACCAAAACCTCGCGTGTTGCGTCTTTCTGATTGTTGACTTCTTTTACGCGCCACTTTTACGTAGTGAAATCGATCAACGCGTTTTGGTGTTTCCCTGTTCATCCGATTTCAAAACGCTGTTTATGCCTCCACAATGCATCCCTTCAGCTTTCCCCACACTGTTCCAGAGGCAGCACCCACAGTTCCTAGCTTCATCGGACTCTTTGCTCCAGTCAGCTCCAGCTCGCTGTATTTATTATCAAACATGCTCGTCAGGTCTCGGAGCGTCTGCTTCCCTCCTGTGTCCAGGTACAGAATGAGGAAACAATGGATTCACAAGTTACTGCTGTTTGTGGGCCAAGGTAAACATTGTCAGCGAGCGCTTTCCTGCACGCATGGATACCTTACCTAGGTACCTCATCTCACAAGCTCTCAAATTACGTGACCTTGCATCAAACCTTGGACATCCGCAAAGATCATGATAGTATATGGAAGGAACTCGGGAGCAAAACAGACTCTCTGCGCAGTTCGGTGCAGAAAGCCTGAGTGGTTGTTTGGTAATGCAAGTGCAGACATGGACCTTGGTTATCGGTATCGGCTCGCTATCGGCCTGGATAATGAGGGCACATCCACAAGTACTATATCTAGAAGGCTTGATCACATCTGCCAGATATGTGTTTGACACGTTCATGATTTTAATTCTTAGATCTGTCGCCGGTCGCTTTCCACGCCAAATTCCATAATAGAGATGCGCTGGCCCAGAAAGGCTTTGCTGTCATGTCGTACAATCCAATGCTTGAACTGGGGAGAATGTGACAATATATCATACGCCACTCGAAAACTCCGTCCAGAAATTAGATTAGTATGTGCTGCCTGAAGGGCAGTAAAGTAAAAATCCACTCTTAAAGTTCATTATGACAGGTCGCGAAGCCAAAAGAAACCGACCATGGGAGGGAGGAGGAAGAAGTTTGAAAACCCATGAATCATAAACAGAGACGCGTGGTATTTGAGCATCTCGCGTGTTCCCAACAACGCCGTAAATGCATGCCGCAAAAACTCTCAAGAGAATACAATCAACCGAATCAGGTCGCTGATGAGCTGTTGCCGTCCGACTTGTCATCCTTGCCCGAATTCGATACCTTCTCCCACCACTTACTCACTTCCCCGCTGAACCAGTCCCAGAAATTTGGTGTCTTCGAATCGGAATTGTCATCAGACGGTTTGCCACCGTCTGTCCCATTGTCACCTTCGGGCGGTTGGTCGGTAGGGTGCGGGTTGGGCTGGTTGGTGCTAAGGGTATTTGGGCTGGATGTGGTTGAGGAGGTCTTGGCCGATGTAATGGCCGAGGTAGCAGGGGAAGCAGGAACCGACTGTGCCGGATCAGTGGTAGACACCGTGGTAGGAGTGGTGATAGATGAGGTGGCAAGAAGGGCAGCGGATGAGGTTAGTGTGTAAGATGTCACGGGGTCTGCCGGGCTCTCGATCCCGGCTCCCGGTTCGTCATTATGGAGCCCTACCGGCTTCAACGGAAGACGAATTGTCCCGTTATTAGGCGCCGGGGAGATGCCGACAGAGTCGCAGAGAATGTTATAAACTTCAATGTTTTCTAGAGCACCGTCAGTGAGCTTGGTTACACAGTGATATTCCGCAATAAACCAGAAAAAAATGCACTTACGGAAAACTTCAAGCCGGCTGTTCGCCTCATGAGGGAAAGCCGGACCGCGGGCAATGAATACTGCCCTCATCAAGGGATGCTCATGATCATAACCGTGAAGACCGCGAGGGTGGTACACGGCTCCTTGCGCCTGCGCCTCCTTCAGGTTCATCTCTTTCATATTGACCAAAGCCCAGCCTGCTTTAGGTACGATCCAAAGAGGAGCAATCCGTTCATTCTTCGAGAAATGATATCTCTCCGGCATGTTGACATCGCGCAGATAGACCTCGAGGTTCGGGTTCGTTTTCGTTTTCTCAATCAGGTCGCGGTAAATGTCCTCAAGCTCATCGGGGTTCTTGGGTCTCAGTCCCACCAGCGGCCAGCCGTCTGTGTGCTCGATCTTACTGAGGTCGACCAAGTCCTCAAGTTGTACAAGTCGGGATATATCAGTGGTCGCCATGCCGTGGTCCGAGACCACAATAACATTGACAATGTCGGTCAAATGCCGCTCCTCCAGTCCCTTAAAGACCTTGTCCATCATCATGTCGACCTTTTCGATAGTAGATCGGATCTCAGTACTGTTCGGGCCATATTTGTGACCGTCAGAGTCAACATTTGGTACATATGCCGCGATAACTTGTGGCCGTTGATCATCTGGCATGTCCAAAAAGCCTAGAATTCGATCAACTTTGTTTCCGAGCTTCTCTTTTCCGTTATACCTATCCATATAGGTAGGTTCAATGTCCAAAACGTGGGCCTCGCTCCCTGGCCACATGTGGATGGCCGTTTTGAGTCCCTGTTTCTGAGCCGAAACCCAGAAGGGCTCTCCGCGCCACCACTTTGGATCCAAACTCCGCGCTGGGTCAGTGTAGTAGAACTCCTCTCGGAGCGTGGGATCCCAAAAGGTGTTACCAACAACACCATGAGCTTCGGGATACAGGCCTGTTGCAAGCGTATAGTGGTTAGGAAATGTGACGCTAGGGAAAGATGGCAGCATGTACAATGGCGACACGCCCTCCTTGATGAACGAACTGAGTCTTGGTGTTAGTCCTCGATTGAGAAAATCGGCCCTGAAGCCATCCAGACTGAAGATGATGGTAGTAGGTGCAAACATGGCAGTGCCATTGCTCACTAGCGGTCGCCTCGAAGTGGCATTCCCCCGCTGTGTTAGTGACAACTTCCACGCCGTCAAAAACAGGATGGCGAAGGCGACGATGATCAAGCTGTATATGAGTATCCATCGGCACCAGTCTCGCTTGCGTCTAGCCTTGGCATCCGCGAAATGCAGCAGGCCTCTTCGGTCGACATCGTCGCTGTCTTCGCGGTCGCTGCTGTCGCCCGTAGAACTTCCGTCTTTCATGGCCCCTTCCTCCATCTCGTACATCAATTCGCCGTCCTCCCCGTGCTGTGCCTCAGCCAGCAGTCTGTCTCTCTTGGCCTGTCTCCTTGCTCGCCGCTTATTCCGCTTGTCGGCCACCAGATCGTCCGTTGACGCTCCCGGTGCGCTAGAGGAACTTCTAGATCGTGACGGCGAAACATCGCTCATGCGGCGCGCAAGCATTCGTAAAGGATTGGGGATTGGCAGGTTAGAGACTGTGCGTTCCAGCTCTTGCTTCCGCCGGGTCTCGGTCACCATCTGTTCCAGCTCTTCCTCCTCCATCAAGACGAGGCGGTCATGGGCAAGAAGCTCGCGGCTGTTACGCGCACGGAGCTGGCGTTCGTCATCTTCGCTGTCGGTGTCCTGTTCGCTCCGAATTGAAATCGCATCGGCATCGTAATCGGAGGGGGAGAGCAGCGATTGCGAGCGGTCTCGGCTAGCCGCAGGGGCTGTTGTCGTGTTCAGCGATCGAAGGGACATGTTCGCATCTCGACGCGGGTTCGCGTTCAAGGAGAGGTTTCGGGATTAAATCTCTGATCAGAGATGGAATTGGGGTAGCATTGTCTAAAGTAGTTGGCTGTTAGACTGCGGATGACATGATACATCGAAGTTGTGCTAACATGCTCGTGGTTTTTTTTTTCCTCGTTGGAGAGATGCAGTACCTAGGTTGGGGGCAGAGGGGGGTTTTCCGTTCCAAAAGGGACCTATGGAACTGGACCCTTGTCAGCAAAAGCCCGGCGTCAGTCGAGGAAATGCCCCTGAAGGTTCTCGGATGAACCCACGCTAAAGGAATGTCATGCCCTGGTCCCGTTTTGACCGCTCGGAACCTTGCCGCTCCCCTCCATCAGCCCAGGCCCCATGTAACTCAGTCCCACAGCGCGCAACGGGTACCACGAGGGTACCTCAACGGCCACACGGAACTGTCCAAAAGTCCAGATCAAAGTCTCAAGTCTCAACATCCATCTCATTTCGCCTCTCAGTTCAGGAAAAACCAAACCAATTCGCGCTCTTGAGGCTCTCTCGACTTTCAGTCACGTCAACGAGAACAAGTAATTACGTGGCCGAAGCCTCATTTCGGTGTAGGCTGCGACACACTTGAACCAAGCTTCATAGCTCAGCTCACCTCAGAGGACTCATGTCTGCTACCAGTTTCACCACGTATATTCTCTATTGGACCGGCTGGTCTAAACCTCTAACTTGGCCTGACCATCTAAGTTATGCCGGAACCGTACTATCCAAGGTCCTTCATGTCTAACTCATAGCTGCCCGATCAAAGCGGAAAAAAGAACGGAGGAGGAACTCCGAGGCGAAGCAAGCCAGCCGACTTCAGCACCAGCAATAGTAATAGTTGTCTTCCCACACCGTATTCTTGTGCTTGCCGCCAGCCCATCGTAAAGACGAGATACTGTGATCGACATTCTCGTCGATCACGACATCAATATCATGGGGATGCACATCACCCACGGCCTTGCAGCCCATCGCTGTCTCCTCATCCGGGTTCCACAGCAACACGGTCCCCAGACCCCACGTGGTTGCCTCAACCAGTGCGGCTTCCACAAGGACCCTGATGTCATAAATGCGCTGTTGCTGTGTTGACTCTAGCACAGTGACGACCTTCAGAATCTTGAGCTTCTTCCGCTTCCAGTCGTGACTCCAGTAGATCCAAGCTCGCCCGTTACTAGTAATGGCCCCCACATTCTCTGGGGCCTTTCCGTCTAACAGCTTTCCTGCGACGAACTCGGCCCGCGCGACCTGCCACGATATCTGAGCAAAGCTGGGCAAGAATGCGACATGCCTTGCCCCGTCGGCTGGGATTCGATCGAAGCGAGCGCTGAGATGAAGCTCGTCCACCTCACAAAGAGTGCGCAGGTCCTCGAGACGCAGGTACCGTATACTGCCGGGTTGGCTGTGTTGGAGGGTAGGTGTCTCGTTGTCACTAGTCGAGGCGGGCGGAATGTAGGTGAGAGTGAGCTCATTTCTGGGGACAACATGCCAGCCCAGGTTCGAATAGTACTGCCGGCCAATGTCGCTGTACAAGACGCTAAGATCGCTGTCCCGATCCATTGCTTCCTGCACACGGCGGAGCAAGGTTGCGGCCATGCCCTGGCGGCGGTAGTCTGGGTTGGTGTACACACTGGCAATACCGTAGCCGTAGCCCTCTCGCGAAACGCCGTTTTCTGAAATCAAGACCTTCTTTCTGGTAGTTTCGCAACTCGCGATGACCTGCCGAGGATATCCCGTCAGGTGCAGTACCCAGTACTTGCAACGCCCGTCCTTGGTAAGCTCCTGTTCCGAAAGGTGAAATTCCTGCGCAACGTAGGTTTCAATGGACATGGGTCGCGCCCAAGCAGCGCCGTTGAGCTTCCATGCTAGCTCTCGCTGTTCCGGTGTGGCCTCGCAAAACTCGGTATCGGCTGCCGTAATGGCTAGCGGTTGTGCCATGATGACTGCGCTGGCTGTGCAGCAATTTGCAAATGACGGTTGGTTGTCAGTGGCAGAGGAAGAGCGTCAATGCGAGTTGAGATCAAATTAATTGTTGGGGGAAGAGACTCGAATGAGGACAGCAACCACAGCTGAAGGACGGAAAGATGTAGTCTGAGGTCCGGAGATTCAAGGTATATAGAAGCAAGGCTGCTCAGCCCGACAGTTGTTTGAAACACCCATTTCGTACGTTCCCCACGTCGGTTGTTCGGCCCGACAGCTGCTCGAAACAAACGTCTCGTACATTTTCCACGTTGTGTTTTCAAGGGCTGTCAGAGTCGCAGAACAGGCTTGTGTGCAAGCTGCTTCACCAATCACTGCACCTCTCTCTCTCTTCGTTCTGGGCAACGTCTTAGCGGGCGTCCCGGCGTGAGTCATCAAAAACCTAAGATCAAATTGGGTAACGGGGAAACTCATATGAGAATACGATGGCTATGATGCTACCATGACTTTTGATAAATGTTGCACATGATTTCGAGGAATTCCCGGCCGCGAAAACGGACCATTATGCTTGTTAGTGCAGTGGATCCATCAAAAAGCTTAATTGCCAACCTAACCAGCCACAATCCGACCTTCGGTCATCATACGCGGATCTGTCATGCGATGATGTTCGACTTCACCTGCTTTTTTAAGCACCTCCCGAAGAAGGCATCCCATCCCCCAGCTTCCATGCACCTTTGGGTCCTGGAAGATCAAAGTGAAGGCCGTAAAGGTGGACTGACAGCTTGGAACGTTGAACAAGATTGAGCATGAAGGATGAGGTTCTTGTGGATCAGCCTGGCCCGGCAAGGGACGAACTGAACAGCTGCTTCATCAAAAAGGCCCGAAACATATGCGGAAACGTGGTGTGCAGTCGTAAGAGTTGCGAGGTAACCAGCTTGCAACGACGGAAAAAGGGAAAAGAAAGAGAGATTCTAATCTTCACCCGGTAATCCATCATTTTCGATGCCGACTTCGCGTTCCCGCATCATAAGGCCTTACCACGACGGGACCATGTCGATAAACGCTCCATACTAACCCAATTACTATGTCAAGAAGTGAATCTGGGCAAGAGGGATCAAGAAGAGCAGGTAACTGGTAATCGTCAGGGCTTGTGTAAGTAGGCGGGTCTGATGAGGAATGTTGCCAGTGAGTGGTGTCGTAGCGCACTTCGTTTGCTTTGCTTGTTGAACAGCAAGGTTATGTCGAGACCTTCGATTTAACGATGTTGGTGACGAGAGGTGAGGTGAATGATCAAAGGCCATGACATGTTCCACTGCAATTGCTGGTGGTTATCGATAAGACCCACTTACAATGGAGCCTGTACCGGGATAACCCCGCGCTTGTTGTGGCAGACACCCTTGCGTCAGGAACCTTGCGAGCCAAGCCACGGAGGCGGAATAATTTGTGTCCGTAACTTTTCGCCTAGCCCTGCCAATTACTGGAGCGCACACAAAAATTGGTCTGGATATCGATGCAAGGTGGATGACTTGGACTCTTTGACGGCCTCGTAACCAGCATCAAAGGTACGCATATCGACCCCCCCAAGCCTCTAGCTTATCACACGGCGTTTTTGGCTTCTCTCCTGAAATTTGCGACAATCCGCACTTTTCCCCTGATTCCCGACTTGTCGCTGACCCAGCAAATCCAACTCAGACCGACAAGAAAAATGGCGGATATCCAGATCGGTTCCAGCGCCTGGCGCCTCGTTGAGGTTGGCCGTGTCCTCAAGCTCGAGGGCGGCAGCCTCGCGACCATCGTCGAGATCGTCGACCACAAGCGCGTATGTTTGAACCGAGCATGGAAACCACCGATTTGAATTCAAGACGCGAGGACAGGAAACTAAACGATCATTTTTCGCGATACACAGGTCCTTGTCGATGGCCCCTCGTCCGACCCCAAGCTCGCTGCCCCCCGCGGCGTCGTTTCCCTCGCCAAGACCCTTCTCACCCCCCTCGTCATCGAGAAGCTTCCCCGTGGTGCCCGCACTGGTGCCGTCAAGAAGGCCTGGGAGGCCGCTGGCATCGATGCCAAGTGGAAGGAGAGCAACTGGGCCAAGAAGCAGCTCCAGCAGGAGCGCCGCAAGGCCCTCACCGACTTCGACCGCTTCAAGGTTATGCGCCTCAAGAAGCAGCGCCGCTTCGAGGAGCGCAAGGCTCTCGCCAAGATCAAGGCCTCTGCTTAATTGATTTGGGATGATTAGATTTGGGAGCGTTTGGTCGGCATGGTTCTTGGGTGGAGGGTTTTTCGAAACGGTCTGCATGAACAACATCAGCATCAGGGTTGCTGGGATACCTCTCTGCGTCGCATTCGGAAGACCTCTTTTGTCACATCATCAGGGTGGCTCGCGGCGTCATAGGGAAAATGCGAATTAAGCCAAAAATGACACCAAGGTCTATACCCCTAAAAACCACCATTTCTTGGGTTTATCTGAGGAGCTGGAATCAATCAAAGCAAGCTGTGATGAACATATCCGAGCTCCAGACAGGGAAGACCAGATTGTGACCATTGCGCTCCGGTGACTTCGGATCTGGTGTGAAGTGATGGTATGGTTTGACTACGCGTCTGGCGCGGTTGGGACGGGCGACTCGTGGCAGCAGAGGTGGATGGAATGGACAGACAAGGGATACAACAACTTCTTGGTCACGGTTGGTTCCTGTTCGGCTGGCTGTGGGTTGTGGCACGCTATCCGCACGTGAAGCTGTATGTTGACGTTCTGACATTCACATAAAGATATGGGACTTGACATCATAGTAGCACTCCATCCCATGTCACGTTTGCTAAAGGGTAATCATGGCATGCCATTGTTAACAACAGACATTTCGAATTACTTCATGAACTTTTTACCATTTAGGAACTTCAGTGAAACTGGTGAAGATTGTTTGGCATCGTGAGCAGTCCGGACTTACACAACACACTACGCTATGAGTAAATCTTGAAGATGACCTCACTGGTGATGGCCCCTGCCAAGACAAATCGAGAGGGCAAGTTACGCTCGGTAGATCCAGAGCAGGAACCTCCAACATCGGCCATTGTTTAGCATACGAAGCGCAACCTTGGAAAACAAATCAATGCTTAAGCAAAAGTCAGTTCCATCCGCAATCACCAACCAACCAGAACCTCTACGTGGACTACATTGTCGTTGAGGGTAAATGTGGACCGTGTTCATCAAGACCCTCCATATACGCATATGGGGCTCCACAGTTTGGTCGGGTCGAAATTGCACTAGCATGATGATTAGGGTTACCGAGGGGTATCGGACAAAGGAGGTTCCTGGGCAAGCTGGGCAGTGGCTGCTGTGCCCGGTTGAGCGATCACACACCGGGGCCGGGGGCGTGCACGCACTTTTGGTGAATTTTGGATCCCGAACTTTTTCTCTCCCACCACGCCTTGCGACCCCTTCACAACCCCGCATATCAAACCTTAGCGGTATTTTCTCAACAATGTGAGTGCGACGAGGAGATGCACACTCGTGGTACCCGTCCTTTGCTTGGGGCCGTCGCCCAGGCACGATATTGCCATTTTTGCAGCTCAGAATGAGTGCAAAACAGGACGCATTTGAGCGGTGGTGTGTGTGTGCGATTGTGTGCGGGGCTAGAGAGCTGACCAGTCAATCTGCAACTAGCTATCAAAATGGCCGATCCCAGAGTTGAGGAGCTCCCCGAGGAGGAGGTTAAGAAGACCCAGGTCGAGGATCTCGACAATTCCAGCGATGACGAGTCCGATATCGAGGCTGGCGACTCCAGCCTTCCCGCTGGCTCCCAGGCCGTAATCCACTCCCGCAACGAGAAGAAGGCTCGCAAGGCCATTGAGAAGCTGCACCTCCAGCGCGTGCCCGGCATCACCCGCGTCACCCTCCGCCGCCCCAAGAACGTGAGTTGGGAACATGGGAAGAGCGACTGCTGGCCCAGCACTCCTGCCGTCGTGGACAGCCCCGCGATTGGACAGCTTTGTGTTTCAAGGCGGAAGCTTGGAGCTCCCTTTTTGGTGGGGAACTACCATAGCTAACAGAGACGACCAGATTCTCTTCGTCATTAACAACCCCGAGGTTTACAAGTCTCCCAACAGCAACACCTACATGTAAGCTTGCCCGTTCGCTTCGTCGCGGAGCTTCTCCGTTTACCTCGCCGTTCAGATACTAACTCTAGGACAGCGTCTTCGGTGAGGCTAAGATTGAGGACCTCAACGCCTCCGCCCAGGCCGCCGCTGCCCAGCAGCTCGCCAGCCAGTCCGCTGAGCACGACCACGCCGGCCACACCCACGAGCACGAGGAGGCTGGCAAGGCCAAGGAGGAGGAAGAGGAGGACGAGGGTGAGGAGGTCGACGCCGAGGGTATTGAGGACAAGGACATCGAGCTTGTCATGACCCAGGCCAACGTCTCCCGCAAGAAGGCCATCAAGGCTCTCAAAGAGAACGACAACGATATCGTCAACTCCATCATGGCGTTGAGCATCTGAGTTGCCGTTAGGAGCCGTTGATTGACGTTAAAATATACCTCTTGGCCCACCAATCCCGCCACCATACGGCTTCCATTCTGTCTTTTTGCCATTGACTGCCAGGCTTCTCATCCTTGACGGCTTAGCGAATTGTTGAGTTCGACATGTATTCTTATCGTTAGACCACCTTCTGTCTCTACCCCTTTGACAACGGTGGATGTAAAAGGTGTGACGGTCCATTAGGTCGTAGTGTAAGCTCCACGGGAAATTGAAAGAGCTTCATCTTCGTATGTGCAGATTTGACGTCCCCCTGGTGAGACTTGACGGATTTTATTGTAAAGAGTTTGCAACGTGGTGTGCGTTGACTTGGTTCGTCCGAGACAAAATAGATGAGACCAACCAACAGGTTAGGTAAACCAGTTCGCTACCGTTCGCTAAGATAAAAAAAAAAAAAAAAAAAAAAAGAGTCCGTTGCAAGACAGTGATAGAGATTGCAACAATTCGAAGTAGAGTCCCATTTGAATATGTCTATCCAAGAATTGCCTAGAACTCAAGACCCGAGGTGTAATAAAGACGCTTGGATGCGTAGTAAGAGTTTACCCAAGGTATAATATCAAAGGTCAAAACTATTTTGTCTGGGACGAGCTTGGGCATTCCGGTACCTTCCGTGAGTATGAACACACTGAATACGCACAGAAACGTCAACTCCAGAGCGTTAGTGCCGTTTATTCAGCGAGAAATTCAACTGGGCCACCAGACGAACTGTTATAGCTTTCATTCACTTGACAAATGCTCAATTTGCTGCCTTGGCGCAAAAGTTGTAAAGAACATCTTCGCCGTGAGTCGCGACCCGATCATCCCACTGGGGTAGAGTCACGTGACGGCTTCGCGATCGCCCGCATAGGCCTGCTTCAACTCTTTGCCGAGTGCAAGCAACGATACTGGCAGCGATTGACCTCCACTCCCTGACCACCTCAGAACCACCGCAAAAATGGCCGCAGTAAGTGCAATCCGTTAGTGGGGAGACTCTGGCCGTGCGACCGTTTGCCATCCACGGGTGGCTCAATTTCGTGGCCGTCAATTGCGCCGTCGAAGCCCCGTCGCCTTGGGTCATCATGATGCCGCAAAGAAGCTGAGCTAATTTTGCCTGTCGTCGAAAAACAGCGGAACGCAGCTCTCAAGGTCGACTGGGCCAAGATCACCACCTCCCTCGGCCTTCGTGGTCAGACCGCGGCCAGCCTCCAGGCTTTCAAGAAGCGCAACGACGACGCCCGCCGCAAGCTCCAGCAGCTCTCGGAGCTCCCCACCACTGTCGACTTCGCCGCCTACCGCAGCACCCTCAAGAACCAAGCCATCGTCAACGAGATCGAGAAGCGCTTCACCTCTTTCAAGCCCGCCACCTATGACGTGAACCGCCAGCTCAAGGCCATCGAGGCCTTCGAGGTTGAGGCCATCAAGAACGCCGAGGCCACCAAGACCAAGGTCGACCTTGAGCTCAAGGATCTCGAGAAGACTCTCAAGAACATCGAGACTGCCCGTCCCTTCGACGAGCTTACTGTGGTATGTTCTGGACGTCTAGACGACGGACGAGGACAAGGGCGCATGGAGTGCTGGGACTGGGCCATGATGCTGATCATCGAGTTTGCGAACAGGACGAGGTTGCCGCTGCCGAGCCTTCCATCGACGAGAAGACCTCCAAGCTTGTCTCCAAGGGCCGCTGGTCCGTTCCTGGCTACAAGGTATGTTCATGTTCCAGAACTGGGACTTTGGTGGTGGATGATGCACATACTGACTACGACAACAGGAGCGTTTCGGCGATCTCTCCGTACTATAAATGGCGACCCCTCAGTCAACGCTTCCATTTGTTTATGTACTCTAGCATTGTAGATAGCAGGAATGCGCCAAGGAACTACGGATCAATCGCATCCTCTATCTCCCACTATGATTTCTGACAACCGTTACAATACTTCACGAAGCTTCTTTCTGCCACTCACATCCGTTAACGCAGCTAGCTCACTCACTTACCTCCCGGCCGGCTCCGAGGACACTCACCTCACTTTCCTCTCCCTGTTACCTCTCTGATCCAAGCAACCGCCCAAGCCCCCTAGTCATCTCCTCATCGGCCTCCAACGTCCTCTCGAACAGCGGCGCCTTCAGCCAGGACGTATGCCCCCCCCC